AAAGAGCTTGAGGAGCGGGGAGAACAGAGGACCAAAAATTCTGCTCCTCAGAAAAACTGGTGCCACCAGAGTCAGGCACCAACTTGGGCAGGCTATTCTCGTTCACAGTTTAAGGTTTTTGAATCGAGGGGGAGATGAGAATCTCTGACAACTTTTGTGAGTTTAGCTCCACAGATTTTTTTTAATTTTTTTCCATCTTTGGAAAATAGCAAGAATTTTCAGTATGGAAAATTCCTCCTCTCCCCTGTACTCACATTTCTTTTCCATTTGCTGAATCCCACAGATCTCTCCAGCTCTGTCCGCTCTATTTCTTGCCCACACCTCTTCCTCTCCCCTTGTCCTCTGATTACTTAGCCAGTCTTATTCTTCCCACTATTTACCATGACCACTGGATGACTAATCACTTTTAAGTTAATGACAGAACCTATTCGATCCAAAATTTTGCAGCTCATGCCTGTTTTGTCAAAGACCTGAAACAGGTGCTCTGAGCCCAGTACTGTGTACATCTCAACTTGGATTCCGACTGTGCGGCTCAGGTAAGTGTTCTTAATCTTTAATACTTTGGCTCTTGTTCCCCAAGATGTAAAAGCAACTCTGAGGAGATAATTCTGAATAAACTTTATGCTAGAAGTACCCACTAGGTTATATTTCCAGGTTGGAAAGAATACTCTCTTCTCTGTGCGTGTGAATAGATTTGTGGGTTCTTATTACTGAGGCAACTTCCTGATTGGGGTTCTTCTTTTCGCTCAAGCTTTACTTCAAGTTATTTCTAGATAAACCTATTCATTTAATATTAAACAAACATATCAACAAAAATATTCAACACCTGGACAGTCTGCCTGCTCATACCCTAGGATCAGGGTATGGGGGCAGTGCCATCACAGCCACTCCAAATTCAATAGCAAGAGAAACGGCTTAACAAGGTTACTGATTTTAACCAGCATAACATCTCCCTCTTTCATGTACACAGTACAGTGGTTAACGTATTGGTCAAACTAGTATTCACACCTCTGCCATACTGGTAACACTGCACCCTAAGAACAGCAAGCAGAAATTTATGAAACACAGCGTTGTTAGCAAACTTCAGCCACTCCCAGTTCTAACCATCACCCTGGATTAAGTAGAGTGCTTCATTTCTGCTAACCAAAGAACATGGGGTTGGTCATGCTGCTTCTTACTACCATTCTAGCACACACCTGAATTCAACTCCATCATCCCTATTGCTAGGATAACAATGCAGCCTTACAACCCAAGGCTTCTAACTTTATACAGTCCTTCTACCTCACACCTACCTCAGTTCCCAGAAATTATCTCTGAGCAGCATTATGACTTTATTAATCATTGTTCCATCACAATTCTAATTATTGATTTAATCTTTTTATTATAAAAAGTATAGATGTGCAAGACCTTCTCTAGGAGCTAAAGAAAGAGTGATCTCTGTCTTATGAAAGTCTTTCTCATGTGCTTTTCTGGAGCAGGGAAACTTCATCTATCCTGTGGAAGTCAAATATAAGTCCAGTAACACAGCAGTACTCCAGGGAATGCACCACACATAGGAGAGGTTACTGCAAACCTGTGCTTCTTAAGCCTTTTTTTCCTGTGAGAGGGACTATATGGGACATCAGTGGAAAAAGAGCACATAAAAACATACTTGTATGTTCTGTAGTCGTCATATGACATAACCTTCACATACAAAGTTAGAAGAACCTAATTAACGCCTGCTTCAGCAAGATTTATCTAGCAGACTCGTACTGCCTTTACTTTGAGGCAACCTGGACTGAGCTGGTTCTGTGGTCACGAACATAATTGGCGAGGCCCTTCTGCAGGCGCCACATAGCGGGAGGCTGCAACGTGAGAACTCCTGCTCTAAAAACCAAGTGTCCCCGGCCCTCTGTGCTTAGCTCAGAGCGGTTAGACAAACAACCGAACCTACTAGGTAGTGAAGGGGAGGTCTTGCTCTCCCTCCCCTCTACCTGCTTTTCCTGTCCCTTCCTTATGCAGCCTCAGGGTCCTGCCCCTTTGCCAAGCTTACTGGACTCAGCCAACTCCATTCATTACCTTTCCGCTTTTTTACCAAGTTACATTGCCAC